CGACGGCCAAAGAGGGCCCCGAGACACCCAAAGATCGGCCCAAGACGCCCAATCTGGGCCCAAGACTGCCCAGGACGCGTCCAAGACGCCCCCAGGAGACCCCCGAGAGGCCTCCCAAGAGAGCCCCGAGAGGCTACAATTGTTGATTTTCCTGTGTTTTTCAATGTTTTTGGCCTTCTCGTTTTTCCCGCTTCCCGACGCTCCACAATGGCCCAAGAGGCTCCCTAGATCGCCCCACTGCTGCCCAAGAGGCCCCCGAGAAGGCCCCAACACGGTCCAGGAGGGCTCCGAGACCGCCCAAGAGGCGCCCGAGACGGCCCAAGAGAGCACCAAGACGGCCCCGAGAGAGACCCAAGACGGCGCCCAAAAATTCAAAAACTAAATTTTCCGCCGCGAGAGGGCCCCAAGAGGCCCGGAGAGAGCCCCGCGAGGCCCCAAGAAGCTCCCAAGAGGCCCCAAGGAGCCCCCAAAAAGCCCCCAAGAGGCCCCACAAAGATCCCAATAACCCCAAAACGCCCCCAAGACGCTTCAAAACTGCCTCCCAGAGGGCCCCGAGAGGCGCGCCACGAGATCCCAACACAGCGGTCTCCCCCTCTCATTATCCCTTCTCTTTGTCGTCGCCTTCTTCGTCGTCGTCGCTGTCGTATCCAATGGCGCAGCGAGGCCATTTTCCGTTCAAACCACCGAAAGACCCAAGAGCTCCTCCTGAGCCTCCTCCTCTTCCGCATTCTCTTCCTCCTCTACCTCCTCCTCCTTCTCCTAATTCCCCGTGATGTTTCACGTGCCGCCCCGCCAAAGGTCTAGCAGAAGCAGCTCCCCTCGCTCTTCCAAGTCTCTGCTGCGGATTTCTTCCGCGACACCTCGGCTGCGCCCCAGATATCCACATAATCTGTCCTCTTCATCCTCTTCCTCCTCTTCATCCTTTCTTCTTCCTCCTCCTCCTTTTCCTCATCCTCTTCACGTTCCTCCTCCCGCCTCGACTGAGCTTCTCGCAACGCACAATACAAACCGTCGGGGCCACGAAACCATCTCATCCGGACGCGCTGTTGGGAACTCGGGTTTTTGTGACATTTTGGAGATCAGGCCGTCGGGAAACTTCGGTTTCAGCATACATCCTGGGGAAACACTCCCCGGGGACTCACGGCCGCACGAACACTTGCAACGTCCTCCTCATTTTCCTCCTCCTCCTCCGCTTGACTCGCAGGGAGGCCGAGCGGCGCCGCGCCGCGCCGCCAGGGGTGGGAAGAATGAACAAACAAAGAAGCGGAGAGGGGGGAGAGGAAGAGGAGGAGGAACAGGAGGAGGAGGAGGAGGAGGGGGAGGAGGGGGAGGAGGAGGAAAGGAAAAAGGGAAGGAAAAAGAAGAGAAACCGGAAAGTAGTCCAATCAACTTCGCCAGAGATTTGCTCGCAACTCCGACCTCAGAAGCGCCTTGCTTCGCATCGGTCCCGCCGTTTTCGCTTGAGACATCATCGCAGCTCTGGGGCCCGATACACTCTCAGTTGAGGTGTTCCAGCCACTGTCGCCTGAGACACTCTCGCAAGTCTCACTTCGGAGGTGCCTTGCACCATGGTGGTTCGGCCACTTTCGCGTGCGACTTCTCGCAACTCTGAGTTCAAGGATGCCCTGAGCAGAGGTGTTCAGACCACTCCTCGCATGAAACTTCCTCGCACGGCTGACTTCGGATATGCCCTCCCCTGAGCGGAGGTGTTCAGGCCATTTCCACCCGGGACGTCCTCGCAACGCTGACCTCGGCGACGCATTGTCCCATGGTAGTCTGACCACGTTTGCCTGAGACCCTCGCGCCTTTTAGTGGCGCGATGATACGAGCAACTGGTCAGGCCACTACCGCCTGATATGCGCATGTGTATGCGCAAACATAGTTACACTGACCATTTGCATATACATGCACATATCCATACAAACGTGTATATATACATATATATATATATATATGTATATGTATGTATATGTACATATGTACTATGCATTCATAGACGCATGTGTGTGCGCATGTACGCACGTTCGCACTCCGCTAGCGTGCGAAATCCAAAGGACCAGGGTGCATGGCGCGCAGCGCCAATGCAGTCTTGTGTGTATGTATATATATATATATATATATATATGTATATATATGTATATATATATATATATATATATATATATATATATATCAGAGTGAGGGGGCCGAACGGTCATTCATTGTCCCTGGGTGCGTGGCTGAAGTGAGATTCCGCGGTGCGGTGTGCGTGTTGTTGTTTGTTGTTGTTGTCCCACCCGCAACCCGCCCCGCGACCCACCCGCGACCCACCCCGCGACCCACCCCGCGACCCACCCGCGACCCACCCGCGACCCACCCGCGACCCACCCCGCGACCCACCCCGCGACCGCGACCCCGCGACCCACCCCGCGACCCACCCGCGACCCACCCGCGACCCACCCGCGACCCACCCCGCGACCCACCCCGCGCCCACCCCGCGACCCACCCGCGACCCACCCGCGACCCACCCCGCGACCCGCCCGCGGCCCACCCCGCGACCCACCCGCGACCCACCCGCGACCCACCCGCGACCCACCCGCGACTCACCCCGCGACCCACCCGCGACCCACCTTCGACCCAAACCACGTTCAAGGTACAAACCAACATTTTCGGCGCCTGCGGCGGGCTTTTTTTGCATTCCTTCCAGGTGGAGAGCCCGCGACCCACCCCGCGATCAACTCGCGACCAACCCGCGACCCAAACCACGTTCAGGGTACAAACCACATTTTTCGGCGCCTGCGGCGGGCATCTTTTGAATCGTTCTAGGTGGAGAGACCGCGGCCCACCCGCGACCACGTTCAGGGTACAAACCAATTTTGTTCGGCGCCTGCGGCGAGCATCTTTTGCATTCGTTCCCGGTGGAGAACCCGCGGCCCACCCGCGACCCAAACCACGTTCAGTGTACAAACCAATTTTTTCGGCGCCTGCGGCGGGCTGCTTTTGCAGGAGGACGAGGAGGGAGGAGGAGGAGGAGGAGGAGGAGGAGGAGGAGGAGCAGCAGGAGAAGGAGGAGGAGCAGCAGGAGGAGGAGGAGGAGGAGGGAGGGGACGACGACGATGACGTCGACGACGACGACGACGAAAAGGAGGAGGGTGGAGGATCGGGAGGGGGGGAAGAGGAGGAGGACGACGAGGAGGAACATGACGACAATGGGAGGACGATGATGGAAGGACGAGGGGGGGAGAGGGAGGACGAGGAAGAAGCGGAGGAGGAGGAGGAGGAGGAGGAGGACGAGGTGGAGGAGGAGGACGACGATGACGATGAGAACGAGGACGAGGACGAGGAAGAGGAGGAGGAGTAGGAGGCGGAGGAGGAGGAGGAGGAGGAGGAGGAGGAGGAGGAGGAGGAGGAGAAGGAGGAGGAGGAGGAGGAGAGCGCCATCGACAAGGAAGGTGGGGGCCACGAGGTCCGCCGGCTTGACGACGCCCGCGTCGCCCGCGCCCGCCCCCTGACTCTTATCCGCAATTGCGGGGTGCTAAATTTATATATAAAAAAGGATGGTGCTTTGTTGCAGACAGATGCTGTGGTGCACACAGGCACCGTGGTGTACACAGGCGCTGCTGTCTTGCACACGGCTGATGTGGTGTACGCAGGCGCTGTGGTGTACACAAGAGCTGTGGTGCACGCAGGCACTGTGGCACAAACTGGCGCTGTGTTGCACGCAGCTGCTGTGGTGCACACAGGCGCTGCGGTGTACACGCGCGCAGTGGTGCACACAAGTACTGTGGTGTACACAGGCGCTGTGGTGCAAATCGCCGTCTACATGCTGCTGCTACCCGCCCTCGGTCATGCCTAGGCATTCCCGGACGCCGCAGGCGCGAAACGTGCCGTCATCGGTCAGGAATAAAAAGAAATACGCTCTAAGAACTTCGCCGAAAGCTCCACAAAAGTTCATCTTCACGCTGGTTTTCTCTCCCTCGGGTCCGAGAACGCCCCAGAGGCTGACAGTGCCGCCCGCCACTGGACGGCCCCGAGGCTCCCAAGAGCCGCTCCGAGGAGGTCTCCAAGCCAGCCCCACGGGGTGGGGCAGTCACCGGGGATCTACTGGCCCGGGTCAACCCAGACCCGGGTCAGGCAGGCTCTGCAGGATCCTGCACCCAAGCCCAGGCCAATGCGCCCTTGGGCTGCAGGATCCTGCAAGACCTGGCGCTCCGACTGGCACCCGTTTGCGTTGACCACCGTCCCTGGAGCTCCGGCTGAGGCGGGCTCAGGACTCCCCGGGGGCGTCCGGAAGCCCAAGGCCACGCGCTCGAGCCGCTCTGAGGCCTCCAGGATCGCTTCAAGAGGATCCCAAGAGGGCTCAAAACTCCCTGCATAAGGGGGGGCCTCCAGGAGCCCCCGAGAGGCCTCCGAGAGACCAAGGCCACGCACTCGAGCCGTTCTGTGACCTCCAGAAGGCGTCGAAGAGGCGTCGAAGAAGCGTCGGAGAAGCGTTGAAACGCTTCAAGGGGCTTCGAAGAAGGTTGCAAAGGCACTCCCAAAAGATCAGGAAAGGCACCTAAAATGCCTCAAGACTCCCCTGGGGCCTCCAAGACATCCCAGGAGGCCCCCAAGAGGCCTCAAGGAGCCAAAGGCCACGTGCTCGAACCGTAATGAAGCCTCTAGAAACGCTTCAAGAGGCTTCCAAGAAGGCTCGAAATGCACTCCCAGAATATCAGAATGGGCACCCAAAAAGCCTCTGGCCCACGACGCCTGGACGGTACCGGGATGAACCGAATTCCTTTATAATAGCGCTCACCATTCAAAACATCAGGGACTCAACATGCGCGCTACCACCTGTCCTTGCTGATCCCTTTTCAGGGTCGGCGGAACCGGCAGAAAGACCTTTGCAACATAACATACACAAGCATATGCACACTAAGCTGGAACTTCAAGTGAAGATGCCGGCGTTCCATCAACAACGCTTGAGAGACATTGAGCAGCCAGTGCACTTAGATTTGAATGCGAGTCCCTGTGGGCACCTGGCGATGTCCAGAGAGTCATTGCCTGGGTACTCTTCGGCCAGGAACGTGTCAGCCAAGAACTCGTTCGCCGAAGCCAGCAGAAGATGAAATTGGCTCTGGACGCCGTTATTATCGCGACACGCTGCTTAATAGACGTCTGGCTCTTCAGGAGCCGGTCTCTTCATCATGCATTCGGAACGGCTCGAGAAACCGACATTCATTGTGAAGGAGAGAAGGGTCATGGTAGAACAAGACCCGCTGAATGCGTGGCCGACTCCGGAAATCCTGCCTCCAAAAATGCTGACGTCTCGCTGTTGATTATGCCGCCTTCCGCTGGCTTCCGCAGGCGACACCTTGGCCGTTATACTCCCGTCGGCTTCCGCCGGCTTACTGCGGAGGGAGGGTACACGCCGAAGATGAGGCCATATCTGGAGCGCGCCACATACCGAAACCTATATCAAGATGGCCAGAGACCGCTCACGACGGGGCCGATACTGCAACGGCTTGGCGGCGTAGCCGCCGTCACAGTGTTCTGCTGCCACCCGCGCTGCGGCCCCCATCCAACTCAGAAGGATACCCCAGATTTCGTAATAAAGGGAGGGGGGTCTCATTTCGGGGGGGGGTCTCTTCCAGGCTACCTTGGAGGACCTGGGGGGTCTGGGGACGATGTTTTGGAGGGTTCTCCCAGGGGGGAGGTCTGAAATGGCTTGTCTTGGAGGGTCCAGACCCCCTCCCTTTTATTACGAAATCTGGAGTACCCGCGCGAAATTGAGCCACACGGCGAACGCACAATCCACTCGATGCAAAAACTGTTTAGGGCTAGCCAGTACCGGTCGCAGCCACCAGCGATTCCGCTGGTGCAGCCCCCGCTTCCGGCCCAGTGGCTTCGGACCAGGCTTGCGATTTGCCCCGGGGCTTTGACCCGAGGAGGGGAGGGCGAGGATGGGGAGGAGGAGGAGGAAGAGGAGGAGGAGGAGGAGGAGGAGGAGGAGGGGGAGGAGGAGGAGGAGGAGGGGGAGGAGGAGTGGAGGAGGAGGAGGAGGAGGAGGAGGAGGAGGAGGAGGAGAGGAGGAGGAGAGGAGGAGGAGGAGAGAATGAGGAAGAGGAGGAGGAGGAGGAGGAGGAAGAGGAGGAGGAGGAGGAGGAGGAAGAGGAGGATGATAGAGGAGGAGGACGGGTCGCCTCGCCCAAGCCCTTCGGAGAAACCCTCCACACCTCCCTGCCCCCTCTACAAGTGCTCAGCACTGCTCAGCACTGATGCATCCCACTCTCCGTTTTCCCCAGAGCATGTCCCGTGGCGCCGCCGTCTCTCCCCCCCCTACTGCTCTGTCAGATCCCTGCTTCAACGAGAGTATTCGGTTCCGACATTACACGTCGGTCGGGAGAAGCAGGCACGGTGGGGGCAATGGATAAGCATTGGATAAGAAATCCAGGGTCTGGAAGCCAGTGGAAAGCCAATCGTGGATTGGCCGTGGATATCACCGCCGCCATCATAAAGATAAGGAACCCTCCAGGGTCTGAAGCCTCCTGGGCACGTTCCTTAACCGACGCCCCCACCGTAATAGCACGAAGTAGGAAGGCGGATAAAGTAAATTCGGTTCAGGCCCTCCCAGAGAATAACAGAACACAGCGAAAGCATATCGATTCTTGAAGTAGGAAGGTGCTTGTAGTAGATTGGGATCCGGGAATCCAGAAATACCTACTTTCAACGACCGACGGGTAGACGTTGCCTAAATGGTTCTCATGTGTAAATGAAGTAGGCTGGTGGGTGTACAGGGTCCTTCCTCCCTGGCGCTCCTCGGGGCCCCTCAGCGTGACTTTGCAATGAGGGCCCCTGGCGTTGCTCGGGATTCATCGGGGTTCCTCGGCGATGCTTCGCAATGCATGACAAAATCTCAGCAGCGCCATGCCAAGCAGCGCCAAGCAATGTCAAGCAATGTCGAGCAACACCAATCAATGCCACTCAATGCCAAAAAGCTCCCAACATCGTCACGCAACGAAACGCAAATCACAGCCGAGCAGTGTCAAGCAGAGCTAAGCGATGCCAAGCAATGCCAAGCAACGCTACGTAACGCCAAGCATTGCAAATCGGCAGCGCCAAGCGTTGGCAGGCCCCGCCACGCAATGCAAAGCATGGCCAAACAGTGCTAAGCAACGCAAATCAATGCCCAGCAACGCCAAACAGCGAATCCAAGCAGTGCCAAGCAATGACTACCAACAAAAAACAATCAATGCCAAGCGTAGCCAAACAACGCCAAATAATGGAACGCAACACCAAGCAATGGCACGCTACGCCAAGCAACGATTCTAATCAATGCCACCAGTATCGAGCAATGCCAAGCCATACTAATCAATACTATTCATTGCGTTGCTGTGCGTTGCGCCTATAGATGGCTTGATCTGCCCTGGAGGAAAGAAGCCCGAAGTTGCACCTGATTCTCGTGTAGCCCGAAGCCCGAAGTCTCACCTGTTTTTCGCCCGAAGTCGATTCCCGAAGCTCTGGAGGAGAGGAAAGGGAAGCGTGTTTCTCCGGGCCGAACCCAAGCGGAGGACGACCCCTGCTTGGGGTCTCGCCGGGTTCACGCGTGCTCCTTTCCGTCGGAACGCACCAGGGACCCCCGCCCCCACAGTACGGCGCTAGCGAAAGCGCGGCCTGCTGTCAGGCCGCGGGACGTGCAAGCCGCGAAGCGGTCAGATGCGGGCCCTCAGAAGACGATGATGATGCCAGCGATGGCGGCCCCTTTTGCCACTGCGCTGGCCGCACGCTCCTTCCGCCACGCAAAGCGGGCCTCGCCGCCTCCTTCAAGAACGATCGGGCCACACTCCTGAATCGCACTCCTTCCTGGTCGTTGCCGCCCCCCCTCCTTTCCATCCTCCACCTTCCCCTGGTCCTTCTGCTCCTGCTCCTGCGGATGCTCCTCCGCCTTCTCCACCATTCTCCTCTTCCTCCTGCTCATCTGCCACCTCCCCCTCCTCCTCCTCCTCCTCCTCCTCCTCCTCCTCCTCCTCCTCCTCCCTCCTCCTCCTCCTCCTCCTCCAATGTACAAAGCCCCGTGCCCCCTTTGTTTGAACATCACACGATGGGGTCACTTTGGGGATCAAGGTCTTCTAGAACACCCCAGCTGGCGGAAACACAATACTTCAGCACAGTGCGAAGGGATCGGCAGGATGCCAGATGTGGAGCGAGCGCGCCTAGGTTGCCTCTGCCTCCCCCGCCCTCGTATCCTCTCCCTTCCCTCCTCCCCCCCCTCTCCCCCTCTCCCCTCGCGCGCTCCCCTCCCTCCCTCCCTCCCCCCCTCAGAACCTGCCTTCCCCTCCTGTGGCCCCCTCTGGGCCTCCTGAGGCCCGCGGCTGCTGGCGGGCCCCCCCTGGGGGGATCGACCCCGCCTCCGAGGAGGATCCCGCAGGCTCTGGAAGCCTCTCGGGTTCCCTGGGACCTGCTGCCTCCCTCCTCCCCCCGCCGCCCCCCCCCCCTGCCCGAGTGGAGCTCATACCCGCCGCCTCCTCCTCCTCCTCCTCCTCCTCCTCCTCCTCCTCCTCCTCCTCCTCGAGCCGCTCTCGCTTTCGACGTGGCTTCCGTCGGGACGCTCCGGCAGGCGGCCTCTTCGCCAGGGCTGGTCTTTTCCAAAGACAGCTGGGTGCCCCCTTTAGTCTGTGGCGCCTGGTCTTGCGCAGCGCCTGCGCCAGGATGCCGAGTTTGCGCAGTAAAGGCTGGCAACGGGCCTCTTGAGGTCTGGAGGTCCCCCTCTTCTCGGTTCGGGGGCACCCGAAAGGGCCCCGCCCGTGTCCGCTGGGTCCCTTCCCTCCCGCCCCCAAACTGTCAAACCGTCTACTATTGAAGAAGGAAGCACTGCACAAACGACAAACTGCTGGAGCTCCGCGCGGATTTCTTCGGCGGGCGACCCGTGAAAACGGCGGCGGACACGCCGCAGAAGGAGGGAACCCAGGGCACCCCTAGAGGACAGCGCGCGCCCTTACTGGCGAAACCAAAAAGTACCAATATCGCTACTCCCCAGACCTCTCCCGGGGTGCCTTCTGACCAGGATTTGGAGGCGAATCCAGCGGTGACGACGAGGACCTCTCAGGAGGCTGGCCCCCAAAGGGGAAAACGAGGAAAAGGTAGGGGGAGGGGTACCGTCTCCTCCTCTGACTTACTAGGCGCGAGGACAGTGCCACCACGCACACGACCACGACGACGCCAATGACGACGGCGACGACGCCGGAGACCGACGACCGACGACGCGGGCGACCGACGACGCCGCCGCTGACGGCGGCGGGCGGCGGCCAGACGCGGAGGTGGCGGCCAGGCGCGTGCTGCCCGCGGTGCGGCGCAGGAAAGGCCCCGCCTCCACGGCGCCCGCGGCGGGGCCCGCGGCGGCGCCGCCCGCCACGTGGAGCGCGCGCACGGCGCGGAGCATCATCTGCCGGACCTTCGTCCAGGGCGCAGGAGTCGGCGGCAAGCCCCGGGGGGGGACATCTGAGAGGGCTCGGAGGTTTTATATGGCCTTCTGAGAGAAGCGTTCTGAGCCTTCCCCTGAGATGCCCGACCTTCGTCTGACTAAGTGCCCACCAGACCACCCTAGCCCAACCCGAAGAGCCAAAGTTCGGGTTTGGGGGGGGGTACGGGTTCCACATGCGGTTCTTCAAAATGTTTCCCGACGCCCCCCCCCCCACTGGAAATGGAGGTCAAGTCGGGACCTTCGAGTGAGGTTGGGGTTGCTTTGTGGGCGGTGATCGTCTGGGGCGCAGGAGTCGGCGGCAAGCCTGGGGGGGAGCATCTAAGAAGGCTCGGAGGTCATCTGGCCTTATGAGACAAGTGTTCTGAGCCTCCCCCGGAGATGCAGAAGACTTCGTGGAAGGCGCGAGGGCTTCTGAGAAGTCCCGCCGCCTTCTGAGAAGGCCTTCTCATTCTCACTTCCTCCCCCCCTCGCTCGCCACCGACGCAGTCGCGCACATGTTACTAGGGAGTACGGGACCCTTGAACATTGAAGAGGAAAGCCTTTCGCCCAGCAGAAGAGCATGATGCGCAGCGGTGCGATCAAGGAACGACGAAGACATTCACAGACTATTCCCCTCGATTGCGTTGCATGCCTGATGCGCGCGCGGTCTTGCGAAACACGCCCCTGCATATACGAGCAAATCGTCTGGACGAGAACGCCGATGCCTGTAGCGGCGCCGACTCGTCTAGAAACGCGACTCTCTAAGACTTACGGTCAGGAGCTTGTGCTTCGCGCGTCGCGGCGGCGGACCCGGCGACACGCCATGCCTTGCGATCTGATGCCGCTCCGCTCCGCTCCGCAGGGAGGGAGGCTAGGAAAGGCTCGGGACGTCGCTGCTCGGGGCACAAGATCAGGACAGGGTCAGCGCGTCGCGTCGAGGCGTGGTGGGCCAGAGCCGGCGGCGCTCCACGCCGAGCCAGAGCTCCTGACCGCGTGCGCTGCTGTCGGAGGCGCACGCTCGACCCGAACACCATCAGCAGAGCACGCGCACCCTGGCACGGACCGCTCCACGAGCGGCCTGGCCAGAGCACGCCCGCCACGGCGCTCACTTCCCGCGCACCCTCGGAGCGCGCGCCGCCCCCCCGTGGCAGCGACGAGCACACCGTACACGCGCACGTCGGGCTCCGACCCATCCTCGGGCGGGGAGGGGCCGCTCCCTGGCGTCCGGGGTGCGCCGCCGATCGATGGGCCTCCCGGGTGCTCCCGCACGGGGTCCCGGGCGGGGCCGCAGGCTCGCGCCGCGTCCCCGATGCACCGGCGACGTCGGTGGTGCGTCGGCGACGCCGGCGCGGCGAAAGTCGGGGTCCACGCATCGAGCCGCATGGCCGATGCGTCGGCGCCGCGGCGCGAGCCTCCAAGGCCATGCCACTCGGAGGCCCCGCTGGGGGGGTCTACGGAGGAGGTGGAGGCCCCGGAGAGAGGGGGGGGGCTGGCGCAGCAGCACGGCCCGAGGCACAAGCGCAGGCGAAGGAAACGGGCCAGGACGTCGTGCTGAGGGAGGGGTGCGGGCCATGACTCGAGCGGGGACCCACCGTCCCGGCAGTCTTGTAGCCCTACCACGATTTAAAAACACAAGCAATGTTCTTAGCACGCAAGCCCGATGTATTCAGGGCCATCACTTGAGCGGGGACCGACCGTCCCGGCAGTCCTATGGTCCTACCACGATGTAAGAAACAATACAATGCTCTTAGAACATAAGCCCGATGAGTTCAGGGCCATGACTTGAGCGGGGACCGACCGTCCTGGCATTCCTATGGTCCTACCACGATCCAAAAACAAAACCAATGCTCTTAGAACATAAGCCCGATGCATTCAAAGCAGGACCGTCTCGGCCAGACGTTCGAAGAAACCACAACAGGTTCTTAAAACATTCTTTGGTAGGCCTGTAGGCGAGCTAGGACGTTTCGCCATTGCTTGAATGACACCCGGAAAATTTCATGGACCCAAGCATGATATCGGCAGTGTTCGGTCG